AGGGGGAGACGCGCGCCCCGCAGCCCCCCGGTGCCCGAGCGCGGGGTCGGCCCGCCCCCGCCCGGCTGCGCGGCGTCCCGAGGCCGGGTGGGGGGTCCGTTAGCTCGCCCACTGCCCAGCCCTGCCCCGCCCGCCGGCCCGCGCGCGCGGTGACCACCGCCCCTTCGGGCTCGTCATTTCCTCCTTCCCGCCCCGGCACGCCGGGCAGCACCGCACACCTCGGCCTTGGTGTCTGCTCCGTGCGTGAAGGCTCAGTTCCTGCAAGAGGCATATTCCTGTGCATTCGTCTTAAACCCAGAGGCTGCTTCGTTGCAGCCCCGCTCCTTTGATCAGTGCCTTTCAAATACTTGGACATTTCGTGGTTGCTTGAGAGTGTCAGGTGTGAGTGTTGAGCTTACTCCCAGTATCAGTTGATTGGATGTTCCTCCAACCCCCGTACACTCCCTAATCCTTTCTTAATAGTTTCTGAGCAGATGTTTAGAAAACGGATAGTATTGGAGTGAGGGGAAGTCTCGCTTGGCAGCCAGTTCTGGAGCCAAGGGTAGGAGCCTGGGAATCCTCTTTGTGTGCAGCTGGAAGTCTCTAGGAGTAACTAGGAAACATTTCTGCCTGCTAGAGGTGACAGGTGAACAGCTAATGAGCGCCCAGCAGGTGGTGCTGCAGAGGGAGCCTGTCAAGGCTGTGGACTTCCCTACCAGCATCCGCGCTCACGTTCCTGTTCATCCGAATGAATGAATGAATGAATGGAAAGAGCATTGCTCGCAGAGAAATAAACTTGTGCACACGGATGAGATTTTGCTGTGTTTGAGACAGAAAGATGGGCTAGAGAAATGACGGGTGTCAGCGTTCAGGCAGAAAAACCCAGCTGGCTAAAACTCTAGCTAAGGAAGTTTTCAGCAGTTATTCCAAGGTTCAGGTAGGAGGAGGACTTGATTCCCCGCCCCCCCAAGATTGGGAAAAACAAGGTTCTGACTTGCTGCTTCTGTCTCATAACAGCTGCCTTCTTTCCAGGGAAAAATGGTACACTCCCCAAGCCCCCCTCCCCAGGACTCTTAAAAATTGTGTTTACTAGGCCTGGCGCGATTGCGTAGTGGTTAAAGTGCTCGCCTTGCACCCCAGGATCCCATATAGTCGCCGGTTCTAATCCCTGCAGCTCCACTTCCCATCCAGCTCCCTGCTTGTGGCCTGGGACAGCAGTTGAGGATGGCTCAAAGCCTTGGGACCCTGCAGCCGTGTGGGAGTCGTGGAAGACCTCCTGACTCCTAGCTTCAGATTGGCTCCAGTTCCAGCCGTCGCGCTCACTTGGGGAGTGAACCATTGGTTGGAAGATCTTCCTTTTTGTCTCTGTATATTCACCATTCCAATAGAAAAGAATAAATCATTTTTAAAAATTGTGTTTACTGCTCTGAAGCATCTTGTGCAGGTCCTGGCCGTAGCAAGTGGGTCTTCAGTATGAGTTGCTGGTTTTGGTGATCATACTGACTTCTGTCGTGAAACGGACTGACACAGAGCAAGAAACCTCTTGGGCCTTCTGGTATTCCCTGTCGGAGTGTCTGGGCCCCTGTCTAGGCTCAGCTTCCAATTCTAGCTTCCTGCTAATGCATAACTTAAAGAGGGAGAGGGGGTGATGACTCACCGTGTGGAAAGTCTGTTTGGCTCCTGGTTTCTGGCGCTCAACCTTGTTCTGGGGAGTCAGCCCGGCTTTGAGAGATCTCTATCTCTCATCCTTTTAAATTAAAAACAAAAAATCTAGTCCAGTGCTCTTTCTACTACCAAAACAGTTTATTTCACTTTCAAGAAAGTTTTTCTTTGTTTAAATCATTTTCCAAAATAAAAATACTTTTCTAAATCGTTTAATGCTTACATTATTAACATCACCCGATGTATCAACATGGCTTAGATTTGCCTTTGGCGGTCCTTGTTTGTGCTCATTTCCTTTGGAGTGCTTCACCCGTTCGTTGTCTCCTAACTAACCTTCTCGCCCTGAAAGAGCAGCTCAGAAGCCTACCTGGGTTCATCCCAACCTGAAAACTGTCTGCTGCGGGTTGCCGCAGGTTGCTGCGCCAGGTTGACTTTGTTCCCAGTGATTCCAGTGCAGGCTCTTCCTGCCTTACTCAATAGGCAGGGTTAGGTCAGGCTCTTCTCGGTGATTTTGTTTCTAAGCATGTAGAGTAGGGTCTAGCACATGGCATGTTCCTGAAGAGACGGAGCAAATTAGGGATGCTCGAACGTAGAAACCTCTAGAGGGATGAGAAACTAGACTGTTAGCAAACAAAGTAGCCTGGTAGAACTTGGTTTAAGGTTTATTTTATTGGAAAGGCGAATTTACAGAGAAAAGATCTTAAATCCATTGGTTCATTGCGCAGGTGGCTGTAATGGCTGGAGCTGAGCCGATCCAAAGCCAGGAGATAGGATCGTCTTCCTGATCTCCCACATGGGTGTGGGTCTCCAGGCTTTGGGCCGGCCTCCACTGCTTTTCCAGGTCACAGGGAGCTCAATGGGAAATGGAACAACTGGGGTGTGAACCAGCACCCGTGTGGGATCCCAGTGCATGCAAAGTGAGGATTTAGCCACTGAGGCATTATGTTGAGCCCAAGCTCACTTTTTTAAATGGAGTGGTAAATACTGAGGTGCATGTTAAGTTTTTCTGTTATGTTTATATGCTGTTTACCCTCACTTATAGTAGGACAAAATATATTTCTTACCGTAGTTGTTAGAAATCCAAAGTTAGAAAGCTGCACTTCAGTACTTGATACTTGTTAAGTATGCTAATCTAGGGGCTTTTCCCTACTTAGACTTTACACTTTCTGGAAATGTTTGCTTTTAAGTGTGTAGAGCCGCATAAACTGAGTTCCTGGTGCTTGGCTAAGTGTCAGCTTCTGCATTGAAACCATGGGATGGAGATTCTTTAGGAAGAACATTTTCTTTCATGTTAGCCAGAATCAACCCACATTGCAAATCTTTTTTTCTTTCCTAGTAAAATGTATTTACAGCCTTTGTTAGCAGCAAGAGCTAGACAGACAGGCAGACTTAATTTTGTCATAACCCTGGGCAGAGAACTACTTCAGCGTGTCAGACTGTATTACAGTTCTGCCAATTGACGTTCCCAGTAGCAGGAACATATGGCTTCCCTCTAGGCCCTCACTGTTGGCAGGCTCAGCATCATGCTCCAAGCTGAGTGACTCCCTCGGCAATGGGAGACAGTTGCTGCTGGATTCGTAGCTGCTTGCTTTTACTCGGAAGTACTATCAGTGGGTTTATATGTTCTTAAGTTGGAATGTTTATAGTCAATTCTATATAGTTCAGGTTATCTTTTAGTCTTGCAATTAGTGGATTTCTGGGAACTAGTCAAGGAAAGATCTTACATAGGCAGGGGATTTGGAGGTTGGGAGGCTTTTTAGATCAGCTTCACTGAGACATAGTTTAGGACAAACATCGTTTTATGCATTGATGAATTCTGATAAGCATATACATCTGTATAAACACCAATACAGTGAAGATGTAAAACGTTTTCATCATCCCATAAAGTTCTAATTGTGCAAGCCATTCAGCCTCCTGGAGAACTCTTTGTTCTCCAGTCCCAGGGAACTGCCGATCTACTTTCTGTGGCTAACTGCTGTTGAATTCTCAGGGTGACACATAAATAGAAGCAGGTACATCTCTGCAAGCCGAACCACTTACCTGACTGAAAATTTAATTTTCTGTACTGTTCACAAAATTTCCTATGTCTACTGAATTTCAGAATAAAAAGTGTCAGATTTGCTTCAGCATAACACAGAGAAAAAGTGGAAAGTGGCAGAAATACAGGGAAGCTAGGATTGGTCATGGTGAAGCTGGGTACTGGGTATGGAGGTTCATATACTATTCTGTTTTTGACTCTGTCTGTGAAAACTACCATGATTAAGTTTAAAGTTCTACAAAGAGGGTAGATCATTGTAGATAAACAGATTCAACTAATGTCTTGAAGTTCTTTTTAAGAGAAAAGCGTCATCTTTATAACTTTTTTATTGGAAAGATTTACAGAGAGAAGGAGAGACAGAAAGATCTTCTATCTATCCCCTCCCTAAAAGGTGGCAGTGCTTGGAGCTGAGCCAATTCAAAGCCAGGAACCTCTTTCTGGTCACACATGAGTGCATTGTCTTCAAAACTTTGGATCATCTACTGCTTTCCCAGTCCATCAGCAGAGCTGGATGGGAAGCGGAGCAAGCCAGGACACAAACCATTGTCTGAATGGTATGCCGGCACTTACAGGCAGAGGGTTAGCTAATTGAACCATGACATGCGGCCCCAAGGAAAACACACTCCTACAGAAAGTCATTTAGAAGTTTTTCTGAGACAGGTGTTTGACCTTTCCATTAAGGTGTTAGTGCTTGGGATGGCTGTATCTCATATCAAAGTATTTCGGTTCCATTCCCTCTGTGCTGGTGCAGATCCTGGGAGGCAATGGTGATAGCCCGGCTGATTGCGCTGCTCTCCAAGTAGAGGACCTCAATCGAGTTCTGATTTTCCATTACTAGTCTCAGCTAGGAGGTTAGAGATTTCCTAAAGATGGTCATCTGGTATCCATTAGTCATACTACCTAAGACTGTTGCATAAAATCAAGATTATATAGACACAAGCATTGCTGTACCTACCCAGGTTGACCTGCTAACCAGGATAGCTGCTATGTAATTGTTGGACAGGAAAGATATATGGTGTGGGCACAATGGGCAGAGGTGTGCCCCAAGTCCTGGGTGAGGCATGGCGTGGCTTAATTCATTGCACTACTCAGAATGGATTACAGCTTAAAACTTATGGATCATATATTTCTAGGATTTTTCCACTCTCAGACCTCAGCTGATCAAGGGTAACTGAAACTACACCTAAGATGAAACTGGATGAGGAAACTATTGTATCTTGTCTATAAGGCCCATTGTCATTGGTTTCTTTTTATTCCTTGTTAAGATTAAAATACAAACTCCTAAACCTTCATTAGAGCTTATTTATTTGGCTTATTTGAAAGGCAAAGTTACAGAGAGAAAAGGGGATCATTACCCACTGGTTCATACTCCGAAATATTTAGGGGCTGAAACAGCCAAAGCCAGGTGCCAGGAACCTGGGTGGAAGGACCCAAAGATGTGGGGTATCCTGCACTACTTTCCCAGGCACATTAACAGGAGCTGAATCAAAAGTAGAGCAGCACCCATTTGGGATACTGGCACTGCAGGTGACAGTCTAACTTGCTGTGCAGCTCTGACCCTGATGGAACTTTCTTAATACCTCTTAGTAGACATTCTGATAAGCAAAATTTCTGACTTCAGTTCTGAGATAAACTAAAAAAAAAATGCTTACGATATGTGGTGGACCAAAGTAATATGACTGATAGATAAGCAAATGCATTTTATAAATTAAAAAAGCATTTTCTGAAGTATTTCGTACATGCATTAAAATCAGTGCTACCTAAGTCCTAAAAGAGATTTTAGGTAGAAGTGTGCTCTGGTAGTATTGAAAAGTAAGACTGCCAATTAGAAATTACTAACAGCATTTTTAAAATGTGAAAATAGCGTTATTGTTGCTATGATTGTACATATAATCCTAGTTGAAAAATTATTTCCTATTCTCTAAGCCTGTTTTGTTGTAGATAAAGTGCAGTGGAGAGTTGTCAAGGTTAACTTTCTGACAAGACCTTTGTTGACAGTCTCGTTTTGTGCAACTTTCTGACAGGAGCGCACCTCCCAGTCACCTAGGATCTCCAGAGTGAAGCTCCCTGTGGGCAGGATCCGACCTTGGCAAGACTATGGAGCAGTACACAACAAATAGCAATAGTTCAACCGAGCAGATTGTTGTGCAGGCTGGACAGATTCAGCAGCAGGTATGGACGTGGAACTGCTTACCCTATGTCATAGCACTAGGGCTGGGAACAGCACCACCCGGTTGGCCTGGCACTCTGGGGAACCATCAGAGAAGCAGATCTGGTGATACCCCACGTTTGAGGACTTGTGCTGAAGTGTTATTTCCAGTGCTCTAGCCACTCGAACCTGCCCTTCATGGGGGCCTGACTTACATTGCCCCCTTTGCCCCTTGTATCTCACTCAGCAGAATATCCAGTATGCTTGCAGATTGAAATTTGGAATTTGGCTTTTTCCTGGATTTGATTTACTTGTTTCTTTGTTTAATTCCATTTGTGGTTTAATAGGATTTGGCTATCATAGACAAACTAAGGTAGTTGGCTTTCAAGAAATCCACTTTTCTTTTATTTGATCACAAATAACATTAGGATAATAGACAGCTACTTGTGGATAAGCACATACTAAAATTTCTTCCTGCTGGTTTATTGTTAAGATAGTTTTCTTGAACTTACACCTAGGTTTCTTTTAATAAAACTTTAGTCATCCCTACAAGAAAATAAAGATTGTTTCCTTAGGCCATGAGTAATACTTTGTTTCCAAGCTAATATAGAAAAGTAGTTGGGGGTGGGGAGGGGAAGAAAGTTAATCCAATCTAATGGTCAAGCAAAAGACAAATCTTGATGAAAAGATTAATAATCTAAATCCCTTGCTTTGTCCTGGCATGGTAGCCTAGCAGCTAAAATCCTCACCTTGAACACGCCGAGATTCCATATGGATGCTGGTTCTAATACCTGCGGCCCCTGCTCCTCATCCAGCTCCCTGCTTGTGGCCTGAGAAAGCAGGCGAGGATGGCCCAAAGCCTTGGGACCCTGCACCTGCATGGGAGACCCAGAAGAGGCTCTGGGCTCCTGGCTTCTAATTGGCTCAGCTCCGGCCATTGCAGCTGCTTTGGGAGTGAATCAACAGATGGAAGATCTGTGTCTCTTCCTCTCTATATATCTGACTTTGAAATAAAAACAGTTTTTAAAAATTTAAAAATAAATTCCTTGTTTTGCCTCCTTTCTACACAGCTTTTTGGTTCTGACAGCTTTTTAACCTACCGTCTTAATGAAGGGTTTTACACACAAAGGACCTTGCATTCAGACCACGGCCGGATCTCCTGCAGGAAGGGATCTGGAGTGGGGAGAATATTTGTTTGATGGTGAACCGGTTGGGTAGACATAATCTTAATTTGGGGGCATAGGGGCGGTGATCTCATGCATGATGCTGCTGTGGTTTGTTTGTTTGTTTGTTTATTCATGGTGATTGCTTTAAGCCCCAGAATTCTTTTGTGTTGCTTCATGGCTGTTAAAACCTGATAACTTTGTTCTTGGTGAACTCTACAAGGAAAGAACAGTAATTGCATGAGCAGAGAGATCAAATTTCTGGTTTTGGAGGAAAGGAGTACATTACAATAGTTTGTGTTAAACTGATGACAGCTATTTTGACTTTCCTGAGGGGTGCGCAGGGTGTCTCACATAGGTTTAGAGGGCTACTATCTGTAATCCTGCTGTCTTCAACAAAAACACTCTCAGTAGAGGGAGTCTGTCCCTTTTGAAAAGACTTCCCTCCTTCTCTCCCAAGAGGTAAGGTGTTCTCGCGTCTTGTAGTTCATTTCCCTCCTGACACATTTCAAGCTCTTTCCTGTTCCTGTTCTCAGCAGCAGGGTGGTGTCACTGCTGTCCAGTTGCAGACTGAGGCCCAGGTGGCATCGGCCTCAGGCCAGCAAGTCCAGACCCTCCAGGTAGTGGTGCCCTCTCCTACTCTGCGTGAGCACTGCATGAACTTCTCTGTTCCTCATGTCTGGTGCTGTTTGTGTTAGGTTCTCAAGTAGGAATGGCGAAGTCAGTTGCATGTCTTTGGTGCTGCAGTTTGTCTATGAGGCTTTTAATATGCCACTTTCTAATGCTTTGTGCCAAGTCAAGTAGTGACTGACCCTTGTATCAAATGTGTGACAACTGCATTTGGCTAGTGTATTTCTTTGGGAGTATTTAGAAAACTGTATGAGTGATTCTTATGAAACCACATGAATCATGTTTTAGAAGTGGGCATTATAACTTAGCCAGAGCTTAAACTCTGAAATCCAATTGCATAGTCAAATTTCTTGAGTATTACAGTGTAGGAAGATATATAGATATACATACACATACACGTAAAATGGGTGCTTGTGTCTTACTTTTTTTAAAGGGAGACAGCTACAAAATAACCTATTGCACTTACTAAGAAGCATCTACACAGTACATGTTGATTTCTTGTTACTTACTGCTTTTTCATGACCTTTTCTGTGGAGATAGTGATCTATCTTATTACTAGAGCCGCAGAGATTACCTCATGTACCTCTTGGTTGGACAGAGTGGAATATGCTTTCAATTTCTGGTGTTAAAGCCATTGTAAAAACTCTTAGCTAACCAGCACTGCTCTTCAACGTATGGCCGAAGTTAAACATCGTAAATTGAAACAGTAATTTGGCCAATTCTATGTAAAAATAAGAGGGGGAGAACTAATATTCCCCATATCTTAGGTAACTTTGACTAAAAGGAGCTCATTTTTGGGAACTGGCCAAGAGTTGGGTTTCCTCCTTTGTCCTCCCACACCCAAATTAACAGTGGCAGTCAGAGCAGAACCTAGACATCTCGATTTATTCCTAGTGCCACTGAGTACCTGCAGTGAGCTGTGCCTCGGTCACTGTTCCCTTTCAGTCCCCATCCCAGCTCTGGCCTTGGGAGTATTTGGTGATGATATATAACCCGTTTGAACACAAATTAAGTTAAGAGAAGCTGAGTTTCTGGTACTGCTGAACTGTAATTAAATCTCATAGCTGTACAGCTTGTTCATGTTTTCATGCTTGCTTCATCTTACTGATAAACGAAACAGTATTTTGGATTGTCATTAACCTCTTGTGGAATGGGAATGTGACATGCTCTTAACTGAATGGCTTTTTGTCTAATGCATGTATCCTTCAGATCATTCTTATGCTGTGGATTTTTTGAGTCTAAAATAGTTAGTCATGTATGTATATAACATGTCAGTGGGGGAAGAAATACAGATGATGGGTAACCATAAATTTTATTTAAAAAAAAAACTTTATGAAAATAATATAAATCTTTTCACTACAGGAATCATTCTATTTGGAGAATTTTAAATAGTTCCTTGACAAGTTCCTGTAGCAAGTATTCCCGAGAAGTCCTTCCTGATAAAGCATATCCAGTGTAACTGAGGGAATTTAGATAGGGGAGGCAGAAGGAGCAAGCATAAGACAAGCTGTGAAATCCTTTAAGGTAGAAGTGGAGTTTCTCGAGAGAAAATTTTATCAAACATAGGATTTAAGCATTACTGATGATTCTGATGATGGGTGGTGGTGATGGCAGGAAGACCTTATTGTCCAATTTAATCCTCTAGGGTAGATTGGTGTTTTATTTGAATGTACTTTTACAGTTAATTTAGTTGAGCGTATTTTTATTGTCATTAAGAATTAATGTTTTAGTCATGAGACTTACTTTCTACCAGAAGTTATTCTTCAAAACCAAGACAATCTGAAAGTATAAGTTTTGAACTTTTAACTATTTTGTCGATCGGTTCACTCCTAACGTCTTGACTTTTAGAAAGCTTTCTGCTGGGTATTTTTACCTTGGAACTCCAGAGGCGGCAGAGCACTGGAAGTGACCTGGCTCCCAAACATGTCTCTTTATTCATAGACCTGCCTGGTCTCTATAATCAGTATTACTGCTTTTGATCAAGAAGAAACTATACAGGTATTTTAAAGTCCAGTGTGAAGAGCCGTGCCGTGGAGATTACAAACTGACAGAAAATGAATGCTTCCAAGGGAGTCTTTAGTATACTGGGATCTTTAAACAACAAATATTCCCAGATTTCTCAGAGCAAAGTGAAGAGCATAACAGGTGTGCAAGTTCATTTTTGCCTGAAAGACTGTGGAGAAAGGATTCTTTGCACACACTTGAGAGCGGCTTGCTTCGCAGCCTCCTGGCATCATACAGGGTGCAGTTTGCTGAGCTCTCCTCAGACACTTTACTGCCATCACCACCATCCTTCTTCATGTGATTCCCTGCTGCAATTTTGGATACCACACCTGAATATTGTCTTTAACAGGCCAACAGTCTTGATGTTTTGATAAATATTTGGAAGTAACCTGTGTCTGAATGCCTTATTATTTATTGAGACTTGCCAAGGACCCTAGATACACTCTATAGTATCTGATTTTAAAGTAATCAACTTGACATTTAGCCAAAGATATCATAGTTATTTGAAGAAGATAACTAGAGGACATACAATTTATCTATTTAGTGCCTCTCCTTGTTCGTTCTAGCAAGGCATCAAAATAGGTCCAATAATTTGTGTTTTGATAAAAAAGCAATATTGTCTCTTGTTACTTCATTGTTGTTATTCTATTTCATTCTAGGTCCAGGGGCAGCCATTAATGGTACAGGTCAGCGGAGGCCAGTTAATCACATCAACTGGCCAGCCCATCATGGTCCAGGCCGTCCCTGGTGGACAAGGTCAAACCATCATGCAAGTGCCTGTGTCTGGAACACAGGGTTTGCAGCAGGTAAGTGACAGAAAACAGCTGAAGCAGTGTGTCAGCATAGAGATTTTACAGAATAGGATGTCCCAATAAAAATAAGTAAATCTTAAAAAAAGAATTTATTGAAAATTTTTTGAAAAAATGAAAACAAAATCAGAATTCATGAGCTATAGTTTCCATTGATCTTTGTTAGTGAGATGTATCTCCTGTAGGCAACAAGTAGATGGGTTTTGTTTTTAGTTTTAAAGCAAGATTTATTAGGGGTTTTGTGTTTTTAATCCAGTCTGCTGATCTATGTTTGATTGATAAATTCAGTGCTCATTTCAGCAGCACACAGTAAAATTGGAATTATTGATGAATTTAAGCCATTTACATTCAAGGTTAGCATAATAGGTGGTAATTTGTTCCTGTTATTTAGTAGTGAATTGTTCATTGATTTTAGTCTTCTGCTGTTACTTTACTGGGATATTCTTCACATTTACCTTTGTTTTTGGTTGCTGCTATTCCTTTTTCTGTCAAGAGAACACCTTCATCATTGTAGGGCAGGTTTGGAAGAGACATTCTTTTAACTGGAATATCTACCAGGCAAATTTTTAAGTTGACAATTTTGTATAGTCTACAGATGATGTTATAATCAACTAAATGACCCTTCGCAGAAAAGATTCCCCACCTCTATTTATATTTTAAATATGTAAACCTTTTTATATAGCAGTTTGTAATCTAATGTTGTCTACAGAAAAGCCAGCAGTAGAGAGAAAATGCATGAATACAACACAGTGTTGCACATTAGTGAAAAATATATCTGTATGTTCATTAATAAGGCTAAGGAAATGATTGAATACAAGATACTCATATTGGAGTGTAATTAAACAGGAGACATGATTGACTTAATAGTATTTTTAGAGAAAAATAACTGCAAAGTAATAAATGCTATGTGATCTCATCTTTGTAATTAACCAATTTACCACAGTTATATATGACATGAACGTGGAAAGGAGGTGAAACAGGCATATCAACATACTGGATAAGTAGGAAAAAATCAGCCACAATGATATGCTTGTAAATCAGAGTTGGAATTTTGCCCATTTCTTCATGTTTATTTTGCAAAATTTTGGAACATAATTGTGGCACAGGTAGTAAGAGGTTACGTTATTTAATTCTTTCATAGTGTTCAACCAATTCTGATGAATCAGAATTTCTCCGCTACAGAGTGTATTTAAGAGTCTTGCTGGTTTTTACTGTTGTGGGTAAGCTTACTGTAAACAGTTGGGCAGGCTCTTTCTTTTTCAGTTGTTATTACAGTAATTTCTTTGGAGTGGAAATTGCCTGGGCAAAGGGTAAGAGTACTTTTAAGGCAAAAGGCATTCTTTTGCCAAGATACAGTTGTAGTTGGAATTAAAAATAGTTTCCAGATTTCTCAGTACATAAATGAGGATTTAAATATATTTTCACTGTATGACACTTTCCTCAATTCGCATTGCTATTTCATTTCGGTGCTTCTACTCTTGGCCTGCTTTTTAGCCCCCAGCCCCCCTTTCCTTCTTTTCTTCTCTATTGAATAGAAAATGTAATGCAGGACTGGAAACGGAATACTGTTGAGTGCAGTGAGCCAACTTCATTCCCAGGTCTGCCATTAAACAAGTTTACTGATTCTGGCCAACTCATTAATCTGAAAATGCAGTTTATATCAGGTGATCTGTAGGGTTCATATAACTGTGGTTTATTTTTTTCCTGTAAGAGAATGATAAGATTGTTTCATTTCCCTACTTCAGGTAGGACTAGAACTAATCAAGTTAAAAATTTATTTTTTGATATGTAAAGCTCTAATTAGATTTCATAGTCTTCCTTAGACTTGTTAAAGCTTTTTGAGATCCATGCTAATGGACAACAGGCTAAACCTTCGCCTGTGGTGCGGGCAATCCTAATGGTGCTGGCTGGGTTCCCAGCTTTTCCACTTCCAATCCAGCTTCCCACTAATGGCCTTGGGAAATCAACAGATGTCCCAGCTTCGTTCCACTGTATCTCTGGCCATATGGGGAGGGTGAACAGTGGATGGAAGATCTCTCTATAACTCTGCCATTCTGATATAAATAAATCTTTTTTAAAAAAACAAATGTTTAAGGCTTTTTAATCCCTTTTAAGCGAGAAATTCTCCTAAATGTTCTTTGAATAGCCATTTTTTCCAGAGGACTTGTAAATCATGTTTGGATTACTTTCAGTTTTAGAATTCCAGTGAACTCTATGGTGTGTTAAGAAATGGTGCAGAAAGATTGTATGCAAAACATTGCAGTTAGTTTTGTTTTGGGTTAAGATCCCTGACCTGGTATAGATAATGAAACCAGAGTAGAGACCCAAGATACAGACATGGAATTATTGGGTGTTGATATAAAGCAAAAGTAGGATATTATATCGTTAGAAAAAGGTTTAAGAATGATACAGAAGGGCCCAGCGCAGTAGCGTAACAGTTAATGCCCTCACCTTGAACATGCCAGAATCCCATATGGGTGCTGGTTCTAATCCCGGCAGCTCCACTTCCCATCTAGCTCCGTGCTTGTGGCCTGGGAAAGCAGTCGAGGACGGCCCAAAACCTAGGGACCCTGCATCCTGGTGAGAGACCCAGAAAGAAGTTTCTGGCTCCTGGCTTCAGATCATTGCAGCACCAGCATTGCGGCCACTTGGGGAGTGAATCATCGGACAGAAGATCTTCCTCTCTGTCTCTCCTCCTCTCTGCACATCTGATTTTGCAATAAATAAATAAATCTTTTCTAAAAAATAAATAAGAAAAAAAAGAATGATACAGAAAAAGACAATTGATTTCTATTTTATATTCTAAGTATTTGCCAAATGTGTTAAAGACCTATATGTAAAAAACAATGCCTACAAACTTAGGGGACCTTCTTTCATGTTATAGGGTAGAGAAGGATTTTTCTTTTTTTCTAATTGTAATTTGAATTTTTTTTTAAAGATTTGTTTATTGATTGGAAAGTCAGATATACAGAGAGGAGGAGAGACAGAGAGGAAGAGCTTCCGTTGGATGATTCACTCCCCAAGTGGCCGCAACAGCTGATGCTATGTCAATCTGAGGCCAGGATTCAGGAACTTCTTCCGGGTCTTCCACACGGGTGCAGGGTCCCAAGGCTTTGGGCTGTCCTCGACTGCTTTCTCTGGTCACAAGCAGGGAGCTGGATGGGAAGTGGAGCTGCCGGGATTAGAACCGGCACCCAAATGGGATCCCGGGTGCGTTCAAGGTGAGGACTTCAGCTGCTAGGCCACGCCGCCGGACCCTGAAAAAATAGAATTACAAAGAGAGGGAGACACAGATATTTTCTATTTGCTGATTAACTCCTCAAATAGTCACAGTGGGCAGGGCTATTCTAAGCCAAAGTCTGGAGCCTAGACCTCCATCCAGGTTTCCTACATGGGTAGTAGGGGCCCAAGAGCTGCTTCCCCATGCACTTTGGCAGGGAGCTGGATAGAGCATGCCAGTGTCACAGACAGCAGCTTGACTTGTGCTATAGCAGCAGCCCTGACAGAGATTTCTTAAAAACATAAAATCCAATTGATTTTACTATTCTGAAATAAAGACAGTGATTGTTGAAAATAAGTTGATAAAGATGCATAATAAGATTTTTGGGCCCAGCGCAGTAGCCTAGTGGCTAAAGTCCTCCCCTTGCATGCACCAGGATCTCATATGGGCGCTGGTTCTAATATCAGCGGCCCCCTGCTCCCCATCCAGCTCCCTGCTTATGGCCTGGGAAAGCAGTTGAGGATGGCCCAAAACCTTGGGACCCTGCACCCACGTGGGAGACCCAGAAGAAGCTCCTGGCTCCTGGCTTCAGATCAGCTCAGCTCGGGTCATTGTGGCCACAGGGCAAGTGAATCAACAGACAGAAGATCTTTATCTCCTCCTAAAAAAGATACATAATAAGCTTTTTAACATACATAGCTGATTTTGTATCCATGGTGTATTAAGGAACTTACTCCAATAGATATTGAGCAAATAGTGTAAGTGGGAAGAAGAAGGAACCCTGATGGTTTGTATAAATTGTTACGCCTTGCCGAGTGAGGAATGAAGTAGTCACATAACCAGATAAGCTTGGGGCTATTTGCTCATTTGCCAGTTCTTCCTAGGTATAAATTATAAACTAAATATTTGGGAAATATAGTTATGACCTAGGCAAGGACAGGTTTTTTAGTCTAGCACCTAAGACATGTGTCCTGGGGCCACTGTTAGGATGCAGTGGGTCGGTCACACCCACAACGTCACCGTCCCAGTTGAATCCTGACTGCTCCGCTTTACATTCTGCCCATTCCTGGTGCACTTGGGAAGGCAGCAGAAGGTGACCTAAGTAATTGGGAAACCCATCCGGAGATCTTGGCTCCTGGTCCATGTGGCTCTTTAGGGAGCTCTGTAGCTCTACTTTCAAACGGATATTCTGTAACACACACACATTTACCTGCATTCCACATTGACTGCCTTGGTTCCCGTCCTGGCTTCCTGCTAATGCAGTCCATAGGAGGCAGCTGGCCAGCGTTTGAAGAAGGAAACGGGATGGCAGCTGTCTGTCTGCCTCTGCCTTTCAGAAAAGTGGGTGAGTCAGTGACCTTAACAGTGATGCAGCCACCAGTGTCTCCAGAGTGCATAGTCCATTGACTTGATTTCCTGCACCTTTCTCTCCATCAGCAGGCCTTTTGCCTTTCGGCTGATTAAGTTCTGGACACATTTTCTTTTTTCCAGACCAAGTAGGTTCCAGATGAAATTACAGGAAAAAGGAATCTGGCTACAGAATTGTGTTTCTAGAAGCAGCCTTTCTCCAAACTGCCAGCTCTGAAAGCAATGCATCAGAAATATCTATTGATGAATAAGTGGCATCAAAGCAAAGTGGGATAAACTTTTGAGTGTCAGAAATATAGTTTGTAACATGGCCTTAGTTGTCAGTTGCTGCATACCAGATTATTCTAGAACTTTGTAGCCTGGAATAGCAACACTTGATTTCATGGTTCTGTGGATCAGGAATCCAGACATGGCTTAGGTGCATTATCTGACTTGGTGGTTTTCTGATCCAGATTCTCTTCAAAGTGTCATGCCTGGGCTACTGTAAGCTCAGCATTTTAACTATAAGATAATACAGTTTGAAAATCAACTTATTATCATTTCATCTGTAAAAAGTACTTAAGGATGAATTTTAAAGGAGCATACTGTTTTTTTTTAAAGCATATAAAGCATGCAAATGCTATCATGTTTTTTTTTTTTTTTTTATTATTATTTTTTATTGGAAAGGCGGATATACAGAGAGGAGAGACAGAGAGGCGATGATTCACTCCCAAGTGAGCCGCAACGGGCCGATACTATGCCGATCCGAAGCCAGGAAGCAAAAGCTTTGGGCCGTCCTCGACTGCTTACCCAGGCCACAGGCAGGGAGCTGGAAGGGAAGCGGGGCTGCCGGGATTGCCCATATGGGATGCAAGGCGAGGACTTAACCACTTGCGCCACCGCGCCGGGCCCAATGCTATCATGTTTTTAAAAACTAATACTGATATGTCTAAACATTGTTTAAAATTCCTTGGGCCCTACATGATAGCTTAGTGGCTAAATCCTTACCTTCCATGCACTGGGATCCCATATGGGTGCCAATTTATGTCCTGGCTGCTCCACTTCCCATCCTGCTCCCTGCTTGTTGCCTGGGAAAGCAGTCGAGGATGGCCCAAAGCCTTGGGACCCTGCAGCCACATGGGAGATCGTAAGCAAACTCCAGGCTCCTAGCTTTGAACTGGCTCAGCTCCAACCGTTGCTGCCACTTGGGGAGTGAACCAGTGGATAGATCTTTTCTGTCTCCTCTCTGTAAATCTGCCTTTCCAATAAAAATCTTAAAAAAAAAAAAAAATTCCCTGATGATTTCTTCCTGGTAGGCCTGCTTTGTTTATGTAATTTATTATGAAAAGCAGAGAGAGTAATCTTCCATCCTTTCACTCCCCAGATGACCACAGCAGCCAAACAAGGTCCAAAAAGGGCTAGGAATTTTCCCATCTTGGTCTCTTGTGAATGACAGGGGCCTAAATACTTGGACTATGTGCTGCTGGTTTCCCAGGCTTATTAGCTGAATTAGAGTGGAACAGCTGAGATGTTGTCGTACTTAAAACTCTTCAACATGACACTGGCCCCTTTGATCTTTTCCTGAATAGAAGTTAATCTCTAATTTATAGTTGCCAGTGAAACAGGACTCCTCCTGTTCTTTTCCTCGTTAGAGTAGTTTTTTGTTTTGTTTTGTTTTGTTTTGTTTTGTTTTGTTTTTACAGGAATTTGGGTAATTTTCAGAGCCCATAGGAAACCGGTGTGAGTAGGGTACAATCTTTATGTTCACTTCCACAGATCCAGTTGGTTCCTCCTGGACAGATCCAGATCCAAGGTGGGCAGGCTGTGCAGGTGCAGGGCCAGCAGGGCCAGACTCAGCAGATCATCATCCAACAGCCCCAGACGGCTGTCACCGCTGGGCAGACTCAGGTAACATGGGCACTGTCAACACAGGAGCACAGCTGATACAGGGAAGGGGTCAGCCAGCCTGGTAGTCCATGTGAGTGGAAGTAGGGGAGAAAAGCATCAAAAATGTTTCCTTGAAAAGTGTCACGTGGTCATTTTCTTAATGGGGAACCTTTGGGGTCCATGTAATTGTGTACACATTTTCATTTATGTGTTGATTTCCCACAGACACAGCAACAGATTGCCGTCCAGGGGCAGCAAGTGGCACAGACTGCTGAAGGACAGACCATCGTCTATCAGCCAGTTAATGCAGATGGCACCATTCTCCAGCAAGGTAAGGGTGCCCCTAAGTTTCCCTGTACATCTTGGGGTATCTAAAACATCAACAAAACAAGGTTTCCTCTGGATTTTCCCAAGTTGGGTCTTTGTCCTAGGACATGACCGGTGTTGATTCTGTGGTAGTCGTAGGGAGGACTGGTCCTAGGGAGTATGTGAGCTTTCAGGGAGGAAATGGTTCTGCATAGAAGATGGAAAATATACACTTTGCTTATTAGTAAAGAAATAGATCAGAAAGCAAATAGGCATTTAAAATGCTGTTTCTGTTTATGCTCATTGCCTTTCCCCATCACTCTATAATTAACTTACTCCAAATGTCTTATTAAATGCTTACTGTGGGTACAGCACTTTATACATAGGATTTAATAAAATGGAAAGAAGAGTTCCCAGAGAGCCTCTAATCAAGTAAGAGAGACTTAAAAAAACAAATGGAATGTAGAGAGCTCTTTGTAAGTACATTTTAGAAAGAGATACAAAAATACAAGAAGTGTTTAAAGAGGAAGGATACTTGAAATGGACATGTTTTAGAAGGCATGTGTCAGCTGTTTAGATAATCAATCCAGGAAGGGTGTGTCAAATTCCATGACAAAAGTTTGACTTGTGATAAACTTGTGCAGTACTTGAGATGTAGGGAGTGCATTAACTATATGCACTGTCATGATTCGGACGTTCGAAGCCTGAATTGGATTCAGTTGTGCCAAGAGCTCAAGCAAAGTTATGATTAATTTCCTCAGTGATGCTAATCATTTCAGGATTTGTAGTGCTTGATTTAATTTTAAGCTTTAGTCCTGCAGCTGACTCGTACTCCAGGATGAGCAGATTTTAAGTTTGTAGACTCTGTCCTAAAGCAGGCTGCTCCATGTGTAGTCAGTGAGGGTAGCTGTTGTCATTCTGAGCCGAGGAAGGGCAGGCTTCCATTTCTCACTCCCTTTGGAAAACTGTTGCTGCAATGGAGAAATGTCTTTTTAAAGAATAGAGTTCCTCAAAACTGGGAGAATCAATAGAATTGCAAAGAGGATTATTACCTGGATTATTTACAGCAAAACAAGTGGGGAAATGTTAGCATGGGAGAGAGAATTCCCCCCCCTTGTATTTTTTACTCTTCCCAGGGTGACCGTGTGTATGTCAGATAGAAGAGGGACTAACCGTGTTCCCTTCTCTGTTCTTTGTGCCTGTTTTTTGTTTGTTTTATGTTTTATTTTCTTAAAGTTACAGTCCCTGTTTCAGGCATGATCACCATCCCAGCAGCCAGTTTGGCAGGAGCACAGATTGTTCAGACAGGAGCCAATACCAACACAACCAGCAGTGGGCAAGGGACTGTCACTGTTACCCTGCCAGTGGCCGGCAACGTGGTCAACTCGGGAGGGATGGTCATGGTAAGAGCACTGGTTCCCCAGCTGACTGTTCTCATGCGATGAAATTTCCCACATGCCTTTAAAGATTTTGTGAACTTATAATTTGACATCTCTCATAAAACCTATTTATAATGTTGGCTTCTTATTAGAAGTGAGATTAATCTTTAAGGCACTTACTCGGATCTGCTTTTACCGCAACATCACAATAAGCCATGATTCATTCTAAGAGTATGTTGGTGCACAGGATTTAAAATGAATGAATTGAGAAAGAGTGATAGAATTCTGTGCAAAGCTGGAAGAAGCTACTAGAAGAATCTGTACCATTGTAAGTGCTGGTTGTGATTGGAAAGTGAGTGGCAAACAGGAGCTTGTTAACTTGTTTATGTGTAGTACAGTGGTGTGTGCTTGTGTTTTGTTTTTTAAGAAAAAGAAAACAATTGAATAGTAAGCTAGTTATTTAATTAAGTTGAATTAATTGACTATATCTTTACATTTAATAATGCTTGGTCAGTCTGTGCCCACCTTGCTTTGGTGTTTCATTGTTTTGGCACCACTGTTCTAACCATTATATAGCAGCAAACATGTCTAGGAAATTGAGCCATGGATGGGTGTGAATTTAGGCATGGTTACATCACTTCTCAGTGGTTCAGAGCCCCTGTGTAGAATCATCTGCGATGTTTTTATAATGTATTGCAGACCTTTCATGTAAATGCTTGCCAAGAATCTGCCAGAACCCTATAAAAGTTACTTTTTTTTTTCTTTTAAAGATTTATTTATTTTTGGGCCCAGCGCCGTGGCCTAGCGGCTAAAGTCCTTGCCTTGAACGTACTGGGATCCTATCTGGGCGCCGGTTCTAGTCATAGTAGCCCCGCTTCCTATCCAACTCCCTGTTTGTGGCCTGGGAAAGCGGCCGAGGATGGCCCAAGGCCTTGGGTTCCTGCACCCACATGGGAGACCTGGGGCAAGTTCCTGGCTCCTGGCTTCAGATCAGCACAACAACAGCAGCTGTTGCGTTCACTTGGGGAGTGATTCACTGGAAGGAAATCTTCCTCTCTATCTCTCCTCCTCTCTGTATATATTTGACTTTGCAATAAAAATAAATGAATCTTTAAAAAAGATTAAATTAAAAAATCTTTTAAAAATACATTTATTTTTATTTATTTATATAAAGATAAATAAAGCTTAAAAAGATTACATTAAAATCTTTTTTTTTTTTAAGATTTATTTATTTATTGGAAAGTCAGATATACAGAGAGGAGGAGAGACAGAGAGGAAGATTCTCCGCCCGATGAGTCACCCCAAGTGACCACAATGGCCAATGCTATGCCGATCCGAAGCCAGGATCAAGGAACTTGTTCCGGGTATCCCACACGGGTGCAGGGTCGCAAGGCTTTGGGCCGTCCTCGGCCACTTTCCCAGGCCACAAGCAGGGAGCTGGATGGGACGTGGGGCCGCCAGGATTAGAACCGGCACCCATATGGGGATCCTGGTGCTTTGAAGACAAGGACTTCAGCTGCTAGGCCATCACACTGGGCCCGAATGTTAGTTTTGAGACGTTCAGAAGAAGAGAGATTAATAGGGACCAAGAGACTGTTAGCTGGGTCCACACATCAGGCCATTGATAACCCCTGGTTTCCTGTTAACACAGATGGTGCCTGGAGCTGGTTCTGTGCCTGCCATCCAAAGAATCCCTCTGCCCGGTGCGGAAATGCTTGAGGAAGAGCCTCTCTATGTGAATGCCAAACAGTATCACCGTATTCTTAAGAGGAGGCAAGCCCGAGCTAAGCTAGAGGCAGAAGGAAAGATTCCAAAGGAAAGGAGGGTGCGTATCACACAGACAAGGATATGGAAGGACAACCACATTGTTCCACTTCGGAAATTGCCTTTGATTTCATATGCTTCTTTGAGTGCCTTCCAGACAGACTGATATTAGATAAAGTTAGCATTTGTTATTGTTGTATATAGCTTCAACTACAATTGTGACAGCAAGTGAGTAGCTTCAACAGAATTTGAATTTTTTGTTGTATAAAAGCAGTCCAGCAATAATTGTCCTGAAGTGGGAGCACTTTCCACCTAGTTCCCAAGACTTGACTTTTCTTGTCTTTCTGCTTCAATATTATTAGTGAGCTCACAATCAATGGTGGCTCTTTGCAACCCAAAGAGCTTAAACAAGGAAACAAAAATGGCATCTGGTCTTGAAACGTTTCCTACACTTCTCTTAAACCAGTGGTCTACTAGGAAGATAGGAAATGCAGTCTTCAGTGAGCACCCATTTGCCTTACTAAAATGTGATATCTTATAAAACAGAAGGGGAAAGATGTATGATCGTGATCTCTGCTATACTTTGCAGTTTTTTTTTTTTTAATTCACTTGAATTTGACAATCTTATGTTAGCTACATATACTAACTGCTCTCTTACTGACTTTGCAGTTCCCTCCAGCACGTTTTTGCCTAATTCAGAATCCTAATTCTGCCTTATGGCTTTGACCACAGCCATCCTAAATTTTCAAGTCTGGGATTTGTACACTAGGTAACCATTCTCTTTCTACTTAATAGTTAAACTTTATTTCTGCTGTTTTAGAAATACCTGCATGAGTCTCGGCACCGTCACGCTATGGCTCGGAAACGGGGTGAGGGTGGACGATTTTTCTCTCCAAAGGAAAAGGATAGTCCTCATATGCAAGTAAGAATATGTATATACTTTTCATTCTTTGTTGCTTTATGTTTTCTTGAAGTGTTCAGGTTTTTCCTCATGTTTTGACACTCAAGAAACTAATATTCTCTAAACTGGATGCAACCTGGGTCTGTTAGATTCACTTTAATCTTTTTTTTTTTTTTTTAAGATTTATATTTATTGTTATTGGAAAGGCAGATATACAGAGAAGAGGAGAGACAAGAACTTTCGTCCTATGGTTTACTCCCCAATTGGCCACAATGACTGGAGCTGAGTCCATCTGAAGCCAGGAGACTACTCCTCCAGGTCTCCCATGCAAGTGCAGGGTCCCACGGCTTTGGGCCGTCCTCGACTGCTTTCCCAGGCCAATAGTAGGGAGCTGGATGGGAAGCGGGGCTGCTGAGATTAGAACAGTGCCCATATGAGATCCCAGCATGTTCAAGGCGAGGACTTTAGCCTCTAGGCCACCATGTCTGGCCCTGATTATTTTTAATATTAAAAACCCAAAAAAGTCTTTGCTCCAGTGGCCTTTCTTCCCCCTTATCTTTCCTAGTTATTATTAGTAATATATAGATTTTTTTGATTCTCACTTGTCTTAAGAGCCAAGGAACAAGTTTTATTGTATTTTATTGTAATTACACTACTAGTAGCAAACATTGATCATTATATGACAGGTACAATGTTAAGGATTTTGGTATCTACTGCTTCACTCCCCACATGCCTTCCCAGCTTCGGCTGTACCAAGGCCAGAGCCAGATCGCCCATGTAGATGGCAGAAAACCCCATTCCTGAGTCATTACTGCCTCCTCCCAAGACCGTGGGACACTGAAGGCTGGCTCCGCAGGGATAACTCTTTAAGTTAATCTTTATAGCAGGAACCTTAGCCCCATGATGAGAATTATTCTCTTCATTTTACAATTCAATCTGAAGTTTAGGGAGGTTAGTTAAGTAATTTCCCTAAGGTAAAATACTAAGATGGAACAACTGAAATGCAAACCCAGGTCATGTAATTCCGGAGTTTACTCTTTTAATTACCTCACCAGCTCATATGCCAAAAACTATTCCCATTCTACAGGGATACTTCAAAACATTTGTGAGGAAATGTAGTTTAAAAATAAACTATGAGTGCTTGCCTCGGTAGCACATATACTAAAATTGGAATGATACAGAGAAGATTAGCATGGTCCCAGCACAAGGAGGTTCATTCTTTCCATGAGCTTTTTGAAGAACTGCCCCCATATTTGCTAGAAATATGGCATTAGTCAAGTTAGCCTCTTATCCCTTTCTTGAAAAAGTGGAGTACTGTTGAACACATTCCAGGAATATTGGAGAAATCTCATCTATCTGAAAATCAGTTACCCAGAGAAATCTTCCATCTGCTGATTGACTCCCCAAATGGCCAAAGCAGCCAGGCTGAAGCCAGGAATTTCTTTTGTGTCTTTCACATATGTGGCAGGGACCCAAGCCATCCTCCACTGTTCTTCCAGGCAGTTAGCAATGAGCTGATTAAGAAGTGGGATAGCCAAGACATGAATTGGCACTCATATGGGATGTTGGCATTGCAAGTTGCAGCTTACTTTCTATGCCATAACATCAGCCCCTACACTGCAGATCTTAAGGGCAAAAGCACCATAGGGTTTACTGGAAAGAAAATTAAATGGTAGCCAGGTGACTGGGAATTACCCAGTGCTGGGTTCCTGACTCATTTTCTGACTTAATTCAGGCAAACCACTTGGCTTGTCCCAGCTTCAGATTTGTTTTTTGTTTTTTGGGTTTTTTTTTTTTATGTGTGTGTGTGTGTGTGTGTGTGTGTGTGTGTGTGTGTGTGTATAAAGATTTATTTATTTTTATTACAAAGTCATATATACAGAGAGGAGGAGAGACAGAGAGGAAGATCTTCCATCCGATGATTCACTCCCCAAGTGAGCACAACGGCCAGTGCTGTGCCAATCTGAAACCGGGAACCAGGAACCTCTTCCAGGTATCCCACACGGGTGCAGGGTCCCAAAGTCTTGGGCCTTCCTCGACTGCTTTTCCAGGCCACAAGCAGGGAGCTGGATAGGAAGTGGGGCTGCCATAATTAGAACCGGCGCCCATATGGCATCCTGGCGTGTTCAAGGCGAGGTCCTTAGCCACTAGGCCATGCCACTGAACTCCCAGCTTTATCTATGTGTGTGATGTATGGAATCTGATGTATAGAATCTGATCTTTTTCCTGCCTCCTAGGTACTCAGAATTTAAATGTGACTATCAGGAAATAATGGCCCCCAAATACCTCAGGACATAGTTCCTCTGTATCTGTTTCTTAGCTGCCAGAATACCCTTCACCCTTAAGGATACAGCACATTCCAAGGTGCTTAGAAAAGAGGTACACTATCAACTCTGGAGTATTTGGTGATGGAGGCCCAGGTAGATAAGGTTGGGGGAGGGTTAAGCTGCTGTTGGGATGTCCACATCCATTTTCTAAATTGCTTCTGATGCACCCTGAGGGGATAACAGAAGATGTGTCAAATACTTGAGTCCCTGCCACCCCCATTGGAGACGCAGATGGAGTTTCTGGCTCCTGGCCTCAGCCTTGCCCAGCCATGGCATTTGGAGAAGTCTGTCTCTTTCTGTTTCTCTACATTTCAGATTAATTCATTAGTTAATTAAGAGAAGAATGTCACTTCATTGCTAATGGGGTTGCGATGGTAGGTGTTTGAGGTTTAGAGCCAGGAATTGCTTTTGCAAAGGACTTTGATCATTATCATGCTGTCTTTGCCTCTAGGATCCAAACCAAGCTGATGAGGAAGCAATGACACAGATCATCCGAGTGTCCTAACCCCAGACCACGTGACAGAGCTGATCACAGTCGGGTTCCTCACCGCTGTTCCAGGAAATTGATCAACTCTTCCAGTGGGACACTGATGATTGATGATGACATTCTGCCCTTTTCTACAGGACAGAAACCACTTAGTTTTTTAATAAGTGGCTCAGTATTATATTTGCAGCAGTGGTGTCTGGCAAATTGAAGTTGCAAGCCTTTTGTCCACCCTTCCAGTCAAGACCTATCTCAGATCATCGATAACATTGACATTACATGGATTAAAAGGATGCAAGGAGACACATGCCAGCCCAGCAGTACACAAAGCACTTACGTTAACTGGTGAAGCCAGCCAGCCATCTCCACAAGGGAGAATAACCTTCTCGACCTAGACTGCACTCAGGGAGGGGCAGTGCACAGCTTTCCATGGAATCTGGACAGCATCCATATCCCTGCTGGGGAAACGCAGGCTGACTCACTGAATAGACTCTTTGTATTCAGAGATGGCTTCCAGGCGAGGAAGTTCTTTCCATCTTGTGATATGGAAACAATAAATTCCCTGACACACGTTCATCTGATCTGTGGTAATAATAAGAATCTGTCTGTACAGATGGCAGGTTGATATTTTTGGACTCCAGCCAAAAAATGGCTTAATTCTGGGAATAAAGGAATAGAAGACTCAAGCACTAACAATACACATTGTTGAATCTCTTTGTAGCTTTGACAAGTTTTGGGATGCTTGTCCCTCTGTTGACAGGTCATCTGGACCATAGTTCCTGCTGTGGCTGCTTTTAAGACAAATTCAAGGGTATCAAGCCTTAAAACTGCCTTTACTAAGTAAAGAACAAAGCTCTTCAACACCGTCTGTGCTGAGGCACTGAGGACACTGGCAGTGATTCCTAAGTGGGGAGCCAGGCCAGGGACTGGGGAGTTTGGAGATTCGTGTGTGTTTGGAAGGAGACAGGCAACCGGTAGTAGCTATCCCATGTTTTGTTTCAGAGTGCGAATTTCCAGGGGCTGGATACCTGGAGTCAATCCTTCAGATGAAGAGACTAAATCACATTTACACTAAGGAAGAAGTCTGAGATTTGGCCTTGGACAATTTCTGGAAAGCAGTGTTTAGTCACAAGAACTGGTTACTTGATAGATCATGAGGTAGATGTTAGCTTCATTCGTGCTGGCCTCAGAGAGCAAACATTGTCCCCCTTCCCATAGTAGTAATTCTCTGGAGCCAGTTTCCATTTCTTTTCCCACAGGGGTTGGGCACAGAGGTTTTCCCATTGCATGCATGTTGTGGGAATAACTTGCAGACCGGAAACAGAACGCCTGCGGATTCAGGAACTGGTCCGCAGCTCTCAGAGTGGGTGGTGCTTCAGCAGTCCATCTGTTTCTCCTAGATGTTGAAGTCAAAGAGAACTATGCTAAGGTGTTTCAGAAGAGTGAAAAGAAAGAAACAAACATCACAAAGGGAGATGATGGTGATGGCCAAACTAGATGTACAGAACTATGCAAAATTGTCTAGGAGCGGAATGGCTTCCTCAAGCCAGGAATTGATCCTGTGTCTGGGCTTCCAGCAGCCAGAGAGGCTGACCCCTTTTGGTAATGTCACTAGGACCTCCTGGCTCTTCACATGAGTTTCAGATACCTTCATTCATTCAGTCCCATGAAACAGTTTTCTATCCCTTTGGTGTTTATAAGTCTAAGGGGCAAAATTCAGCAAGAAATTTCTCAGACCTGATTTATAGTGCTTAAGCCAACAGCAACTCTAAAATGCTATTTATTTGTGTTTGTAAGTTTGTACATAATACAAACCTCAAATTGTTGCTCAGCTTTTTTTTTTAATTGGGGGTGTGGGTCAATTTGAATTTTGTTTGAAGTGTCATTTGTTTATTGTAGTCAATGGAACATGTTCATAGCACACCCGTAGAGCCAAAGGGGCTCATGTTTGGATTCCTTGTTACTAGTTCTTTTTCTCATTTGTCCTTGGAACTGTAGTGATGACATCACAGATGGCAGGTGATTGGATGAATGATTGGCTTCCTGCATTGTCGTGTCACTTTTTGAGTGCTCTCTTTGCAGGATAACTGTGTGTTTTTAATCACATTGGTACATTAACCATATCAGTGACTGTACCACTGAACCAATAGCGTTTTCCTGCTACAGGGTGCCTGATGATAATGTCTTCGTTTTCCTTTGGGACATACCTATCTAGGTTCCCCTCCTCACCCCGCTCAGCCTCAGGGGGAATACTGGGGATTGGATATTAATGTCATTGCAATTGTTATTTTTAAAAATAAATTTGTAAAAAAAAAAAAAAACAAAACTGACTTGGCTTTGGAGAAGGCTGCAGCCCCTCGACTCTAAGCTTTGCTGACAGTGAAGTGTGCGTTGGACAGCATCCGGCTGCAGTGTGCAGACAAACCTCTCGGCTTCAGCTTCCCTTCAGGTCTCTCCTGAGGATCTCCCATCACGTTTGGGCTGAGCACTTTTTACTCGTAATTCTAGGAGTAAAATTGGCCCTTTCCTGATCACACACACACACAAATGGCCTTGACTCAGTGTTTTAGTGAAAATAGTCCTTTTGCAAAATTTTAAATTCAGACAACAGAACAAAAACATTGCTGGCTGATGACCATGCTTATAGCCTAGGAAACGAGATGAAGTTATCCTGTATTGGCAGATGAGTAGAGAGAAAGTTGCTAAAAATCAACGGGACTAGAGTTTTGGATAAGCTTGTTCGTCCTGCCTTAAAAAAAAATCCCGAACTTAATTGTTAGATTTATGCCGGGTATACTTGCTCTTAAGTCCAGACATAACCCGTTTTGGAGGGAAAGACTATCCCGAATGGCCCGCTTTATTTACGTTCAGGAGGATTAGAACGGACAGGCTGGGGGGCGGGATTCCCAGCCTATACGAAATTGTACCACATAATTCAAAATAAATATATTAAAATTAAAAACCTAACAGGCTGTTCTCGCCCGCCCGGCGTCCCGCCCCTTACCCGGAAACCCAGAGCGTGAAAGGGCGTGTCGCCCCGGCCGCACTCCTTTGGGAGTGCTTCAAGGAAGTCTGTGCGGATTGGCTGGCGGGAGGACGCCGCTAGTGCCGCCGGTGCGGATTGGCTGCCGTGCGAAGCGCCTGGGCTTCCGGTGGCTCCGTGGGCAGTGCGGCCGCCGCCGCCATGACCACCGGCGGGCGGGAGGTGGCGCCGCCTCTGTGGCCTGTGGAGGCCCGCTTGGCGGCGCTGCTTCCCGACCTGGTGGTGTTCAGGAAGCCGTGGGGATCGAAACCCGAGCTCGCCACTGCGCAGGGTGTCCTCCTCGGCGTCCACGTGACGGGTGAGGCCCCAGGGAGGAGCCTCCGTCCCCGGGGGCGGTTGGGCCGCAGCTGCCTGAGGCCGCGACGGTTCCCCGGCGGGGTACGGCTCCGGGCGCGTGCCGTAGCGGAGACACCTGCTGAGCTGCACCGGCCGCGGACCCCTGAGCGCATCTGGACTTGATGAAATGGAAATTCCCGAGGAGGGAAACGAGTCTTTTCCTGACACCACGCGGCGGGCTTCAAGCCCGGGTGTGAGCGGTTTCCAGTCCTGGTTCCGCCTCTTCGTGGGAGTTAATGCATCCTTTTAAGTCATTGTTTGAGTCCGAACGTTTGTGCCCATGGTTGGCGTTAGCAACCTAGCAGCCACGTACAGACATTCGTTTACTATTTGTGTAGTTTGTTCTCCAAGTGTCATGGATAGGAACATGGGTAACCCCTTAATCTAGAATTCCTTCCCCCATCCATGTTTTTCTCTAACCCTGTTGGAGCAAATCCTGTAATTTAGCGGGTCGGAGGAATGGGGAAGCAGGCTTTCTTTAAAAGGGGATTCTCTTCGCCGTCCGCATCCCCGGGAGGCAGAGGGTGGCTCCAGACACGTTAGCAGAAGCCCCAGCCCCTAGTAGGTAATGGCCACTCTGTGCATAAAGGAATTGATCGGAAAGGATGTGTTTTTCATGCTGACGGATGGGGCTGGCATTCGGGATTTGCAGCTCTAATGATAACCTTTGCTCTGTCGGTCAGGGTTTACAGCTTTGATGGACAGGCTAAGCCTCACCTGCCAGTTGGAGCATGACATAGACAAACTGGCCCACATCTTCAGTTACTACATTAGTGACATCGTGGAGCGTGAGTGACCACAGCAAGGGGAGCAAGGAGGTGCTGGGCTCCTGGTGGTTGGTACAATAAGAAGACCCGGGGGGTGGGGGGCTTGAAAGTGTGTACTCAGGAGTTAGCTAGAGCCTTAAGGGCCTTTAGTTGCCCAAGATGGCAAGCTCCATTTCAGCTTGTGTCTGCCTTTCCCTGCCCCACACCCTTCGGTCTCACATCCTGCTGCCTGAGAAGGCAGAGAAAAACCTAGATTTCGTTATCAGGTTTGTAGTTTCTTTAAAAATACAATGTTCCCCAAGTGGTGTCTTCAAACAGAAATATGCATAACATGTATATATAATCGATACCACAGGGCTTTCCATTTTGTTACTGCAGTTTGACTCTCTGTTCCTGGATTTAGTCCTTCTAGGACTAGAATGTGTGTGTATTATATTTATATGCACATATATAATATAATAAATAATTTGCATATTTATCTAAGGAGGCAAAATCGTCTTTGTGTGCTCTATTAGTGTGTTTTGAGTGCCTGCACTGTACATGCTCTGTGTAGGGACAGGGAGGCAGAAACCCACACAGGAGCCTTTTAGTTTGGCTTGACCAGCATGGCATTTAATCAGCACTCAGCATTCTTTTTTTTTTTTTACTGATCGGGTCCATACAAATATGTTTACCATTCAAAGAATCATTACTTTGGTGGCATCTCCCCTCTTTAACCCTGCAGAACAAGCATAGACGATTCCCTTTGTCATCAGATTTGGGTGACACCACAGTTACGAAATGTATATTGTGCATATCTTATAATATGGAACTAGAAACACAGGGGCATTGTCAGACTCACCACCTGTCTTTGAAGTGTTTATGTTTTAATGGGAAAGACAGATAAAATCAGTATAGCTTATACATTCTCTTAAACTGCAAGGTATTTTTTAAGATCATAATAGGGTGAGGGTTTTCTATGTGAGACAGTAGTCATAGGATGCTCCTCAGAAGAGGTGATACTTAAACAGAGGTGCAGGGGATGAGGGTTGCGCCTTAGGAAGAGCATGTGAAGAAGACTAGATGCGCCAGTTCTGAGACTGGAGAAGGCTTGCCTGTTCTAAGAGCTGAGGGAGGACCAGTGTGGCCCGAGTGCAGCCAGCAGGAAGGTAAGGTTGGAAGAAAGCAGCTGCTGTCAGACCATCAAGCTCTGAAGCCTATAGCATGGAGTTTGAAGGATACATTTTGACCCAAAGGGAAGCTATGGGGAGGTCCTGGCAGGGAAGGAACAGGCTATGGTGTGTGTGTATTGAAGCTTGCTTTGGCTGTCTTGCGGAGGTTGGGTTATAGGGAGCTGGTGGAGAGTGACTGTTAAAGGATGGAAACGAAAAGGCATTGGAACCTGCTCGCGAGGTGATGGTAATGGGGTCTAGGGGAGTAGTTCTCAACCTCAACTACACATGCAGTAACCATCTGCAGAGCTTATTCTTGTTGCCTAGGCTTCACGCCAAATCAATTAAAGCAGAATCTCTTGGAATGTGTCCAGAAGTAGTATTTTCTTTAAGATTCACTAGCAGTTCCACTGTGCAGTTAAGACTGAAGACTATTGGCCTGGATACAGCAGCGGTACTCTGTGGGGATGGAATAACTTGCAAGAATGTTTTTTGCAGATTGAACCGATATGAGTTACTGATGGGTTGAATTTCAGTGGGAAGTGGTGAGAAAGGGGATTTGTAGTTTTGGCTTTCATAAGTGAATGAATGATGGTGTCACCTGCCAAGATCAAGAAGATTGAGCTTTGAGGAAAAAAATAATAAATCGAGGTTACAGTTCTAAATGTATTCAGTTTGGGATGCCAGCAAGTCATTCAAGTGGGGAAGA